TATAAAGAAATGATTACACCACCCAGTTCCTAATTAGTAAAGCTGAACTCCAGATTTAAAAATGTATATCTACTTGCATTGGTCCAATCTGGCACAATATAAGTATATACAGGTGAAACTCGAATAATTAGAATATCGTGCAAAGTTCATTTATTTCACTAATGCAACTTAAAAGGTGAAACTAATATATGAGAGAGACTCATTACATGCAAAGCAAGATAATTCAAGCCGTGATTTGTCATAATTGTGATGATTATGGCTTACAGCTCATGAAAACCCCAAGAACCCCAAATCCACAACCTCAAAAAAGTAGATTATTACATGCAATCAATAAAACAAGGATTGTACATAGAACAATATCGGACCTCTGAAAAGTACAAGCATGCATATGTACTCAGTACTTGGTTTGGGCCCCTTTTGCAGCACTTACTGCAATTACTTTTGCACGATATTCTAATTATTCGAGTTTCACCTGTATAAATGATCCCTGGCAGTGCCACATGGATCCTGTAATACACTATAGTAGCAACATCTATTACAGTATATTATAGCTTAGAGAAGACAGCACTGCCAGCTATGATATGAGACTGGCAGCATCTCCCTGGCTCTTAGCAACCTGGAACACTCTAGCCAGCATCACACCCAGACTTCACTGGTTTCCAAGTTTACCAAGCTGATTGGTTACTATGGGCAACTGCTCCAGATTCTGTCTGCACCAGTTTTGATTAATTCCCATCAGTGTATTTATACCTGTACTTCTAAATATGCAATACACTTATAAATGTAATGCCTAACATCTGTTATATTTAGGGATGCACCAAACTTGGGCCGCCAAAACATTTAGGCTGAAAATGGCACTTTTGGCAAAATGCCGAAAGTGCCATGAAAATTCAGTGCGTCCTACCTTCTCTACTCCCCCCCTCCCCCGCTGGGCACCAGTCTGTGTGCCTTCCGATGCAGCAGCTGGCACCCAGCAGGGAGGAGAGAAGCTTTCAGGATGCTAAGTGGTGGGGGAGGAGAGCGCTGTCAGCGTTGCCAAGCTCTCCCCCCGCACCTCCCGGCTCGGCCTCCTGTGTCAGGATGGAGAGGGCTAAGATCGTTGCAGGAGGCCAAGCTCTCCTCCCGCAACTTCCGGCTCGGCCTCCTATGTCAGGATGGAGAGGGCTAAGATCGTTGGAGGAGGCCAAGCTCTCCTCCCTCAACTTCCGGCTCGGCCTCCTGTGTCAGGATGGAGAGGGCTAAGATCGTTGTAGGAGGCCAAGCTCTCCTCCCGCAACTTCCGGCTCGGCCTCCTATGTCAGGATGGAGAGGGCTAAGATTGTTGGAGGAGGCCAAGCTCTCCTTCCTCAACTTCTGGCTCGGCCTCCTGTGTCAGGATGGAGAGGGCTAAGATCGTTGCAGGAGGCCAAGCTCTCCTCCCGCAACTTCCAGCTCGACCTCCTGTGTCAGGATGGAGAGGGCTAAGATCGTTGCAGGAGGCCAAGCTCTCCTCCCGCAACTTCCGGCTCGGCCTCCTATGTCAGGATGGAGAGGGCTAAGATCGTTGCAGGAGGCCAAGCTCTCCTCCCGCAACTTCCGGCTTGGCCTCCTATGTCAGGATGCAGAGGGCTACGATCGTTGCAGGAGGCCAAGCTCTCCTCCCGCAACTTCCGGCTCGGCCTCCTATGTCAGGATGCAGAGGGCTACGATCGTTGCAGGAGGCCAAGCTCTCCTCCCGCACCTTCCGACTCGGCCTCCTGTGTCAGGATGGAGAGGGCTAAGATCGTTGCAGGAGGCCAAGCTCTCCTCCCGCACCTTCCGACTCGGCCTCCTGTGTCAGGTTGGAGAGGGCTAAGATAGTTGCAGGAGGCCAAGCTCTCCTCCCACAACTTCCGGCTCGGCCTCCTATGTCAGGATGGAGAGGGCTAACATCGTTGGAGGAGGCCAAGCTCTCCTCCCTCAACTTCCGACTCGGCCTTCTGTCTCAGGATGGAGAGGGCTAAGATCGTTGCAGGAGGCCAAGCTCTCCTCCCGCACCTTCCGACTCGGCCTCCTGTGTCAGGTTGGAGAGGGCTAAGATAGTTGCAGGAGGCCAAGCTCTCCTCCCACAACTTCCGGCTCGGCCTCCTATGTCAGGATGGAGAGGTCTAAGATCGTTGCAGGAGGCCAAGCTCTCCTCCCTCAACTTTCGGCTCGGCCTCCTGTGTCAGGATGGAGAGGGCTAAGATCGTTGCAGGAGGCCAAGCTCTCCACCCACAACTTCCGGCTCGGCCTCCTATGTCAGGATGGAGAGGGCTAAGATCATTGCAGGAGGCCAAGCTCTCCTCCCTCAACTTCCGGCTCAGCCTCCTGTATCAGGATGGAGAGGGCTAAGAGAGGCTAAGCTCTCCTCCCGCACCTTCCGACTCGGCCTCCTGTTTCAGGATGGAGAGCAGTGATTGGAGGAGAGCTCTGTGATATCATAGGAATCGGAGCTCTCCTCTCGCACCTCCCTGCTCTGCCTCCTATGACTGCCGATTCAGGATGGAGAGCGGTATTTATGTTATTATTGATTAAATAATGTTTTTATTTTATTTGTGATTATTAATATTATATGCTGCTGCTGTCAATCAGCAGAGGTGGACCTGAGGTGCTCCTCTGCTGATTGACAGCAGCAGTGGGTGGGTACAACAGCAAGCTCGCTATTGGCTATTGCAATTTGAAATGACCAATAGCAGCCTAGCTATTAATTTCCCTGCTATCAAGTTGTTTTTTTTTATTCTGACAGTGGCCGCTGTCAAAATAAAAAAACAGAGACGGCACCTCCCTGAAATGAGAAGGATGCCTCCCTGAAATAAGGTTTTGCAGGTTGGGATGTCTGCAGTACACACAGGGTTCATTATGATAACAATAACCTGCCCTCCGCACCTCTTGTATTCCAGAGCAAAGCTCAGCACAGAGAACGGCCTTTTCTTTCAGAATAGAGCATGTACTGACAGGGCCGGATTTACTCTCTCTGCTGCCCCAAGGCCAGGTTCCTCAATGCGCCCCCCTTCCCATGGAGAATGGCAGATGTGCAGTCTGCATACAAGTGATCACAACGACATCGCCGAGATCAAGTGTACAAAACAAGTGTCGGCTTCCCAGCTGTACATTTATGTCTGCTTGCCCAATGAAGGGCTAAATGTAGAAAACAACTACCCGCCCGGCACTGCATGTCCTGGGCGTCGGAAGATAGGAATTCCGCACCCCTGCTGCCCCTCTACTCCATGCTGCCCCGAGGCCAGGCCTTGGTTTGACTTGTGGGAAATCCGGCCCTGTGTACTGTGCAAGCAGAAATACTGATGGAGAAACATGTAACACATATAAAATAGGCAGAATTGGAAATACACTTTAAGCTGGCAGTACGCTTGATTCCCTCATCTATGCGAAACAATGTGTATGGGGAACCCCCCTCCCCACGCCCTGGGCCAATATACCAGAACAGAGATTACAGCTGATTGGCTGCAGTCACTGTTCAGCTGACAATTCGACTTCTTTGATAAAGGTCGGTTTAAAATGGAGATATGGAGACAGTAGGACATGGAGATGATATTGGAATAGTGTATGGCCAGCTGTGCTGTGAAAGGAACACAAGCACACATTTTTCTGCTGAATGAATGAACTCATTAAAGGAGAACTATGAGGTGAGTGATTTCCACTCACCTCATAGTTCTAGCCGACCTGTGACAGTCTCATTGTCACAGGTCGGCTAGAACTATGAGGGGAGTGGAAATCACTCACCTCATAGTTCTAGCCGACCTGTGACAGTCTCATTGTCACAGGTCGGCTAGAACTATGAGGGGAGTGGAAATCACTCACCTCATAGTTCTAGCCGACCTGTGACAGTCTCATTGTCACAGGTCGGCTAGAACTATGAGGGGAGTGGAAATCACTCACCTCATAGTTCTAGCCGACCTGTGACAGTCTCATTGTCACAGGTCGGCTAGAACTATGAGGGGAGTGGAAATCACTCACCTCATAGTTCTAGCCGACCTGTGACAGTCTCATTGTCACAGGTCGGCTAGAACTATGAGGGGAGTGGAAATCACTCACCTCATAGTTCTCCTTTAAGGGTTCATTCACGCTAGAAAAAGCCAGCAGGTACAGCTCCGTGTATCGCTCAGCTCCCGGGAAGGACAGGTGCTGCGTGTGATTAGTACACAGCTCTTGTCCTTTTCTATGGGAGTACGCCCCCCTACGCTCACCCGTCCTGCACATCCGTGCGGGTGCAAATGTCCGTACTCGTACGCTGACAGGATGGATCCTGTCTGCGTCCGAGCCGGGACACACGCACCCGTACGGACCTGCACTTGGGGTGAGCGTAGGGTGGCGTAGTCCCATAGAGAAGGACAGGGGCTGCGTACTAATCACACGCAGCACCTGTCCTTCCCGGGAGCTGCCTGATACAGCCGTGCACGCAGCACGGAGCTGTACGTGCCAGCTTTTTCTCGTGTGAATGAGGCCTTATGGAAACAGAGCTACTGTCCTACTCTCCACATACTGAATAGTCTTAAAGAAGAACTCCAAAAAGACCAAAATCTTACCCCACTGCAAAGTGTTAAGTGCTGGAGGAGAAGAGGCTGCGGGGACCGGTCTAGCAGCCTGAGGATCAGGTGAGGAATACAGCTTTATGTGAGTCCCATAGACAAAACCAGCATTTAACCCTTGCAGTGCAAGAGAGAGTAGCCCCACTGCAAGGTAAATGTATGATTTTCCCGGAGTTCTTCTTTACATATCTGGTGCCGTATTATATGTGATTGTAGGAGTGGTTCTCTGGACCAGTACAGGCCGATGTTCTGTCTCTACATTACATGCATATAGTACTGTCATAACCGTGTATACCATAGTGCCATGTGTGCAGGTCTATCAGAGTCACGTGACGGCAAATTTCTCATGTACTGCTAGTCCAGCTGTGTGTGTGCATGTGTGGCGAGCCCTGACTGGGGGCGGGGCTAAGGCGGTTCAGGGGGCGGGTCCGTGTAGCGGGACACTTCGGGATCCCCCCGTCTGGTGCTGACGTTGCTGCCTGGCTCGGGTGGGTGTGCCCGGTGTTGGTTATAGATGGTGCCGGTACCGAGGATGTGCCGGGCTCTGTTCCTGCTCTGCCTTGCCTTCCAAGCGCTGCAGTCCGCCGAGGCGTACAGGAAGAGGGGACCCGTTGTCACTCATAAGGTAAGGGGTGTTTGGGGGGTGGTGTACGTGAGGGGGCATTTAACTTCTTCCCTGCCGGGCTGAGCAGGGGGGATACTGTGTATACTCACTCCACCCTTCTATAGGAAATGTTGTAGGAAGAAGTAGAGGTGGATCTGCAGAGACTTCCAGGCCCATCACCCAATGATACCGAATAACGTGTCAAAGAAGAACTCCATGACTGGGAGGAATCCCCACTGCCGGCTATTGTATTCAGCGGCCTCTGCTCCATTCCTCAACCATGAAAGTTTTCATATCCTAAACCTGGAGCCTGTGGAGGAATGGCGGCAGTGGGGGACCTAAGGAATAAAGGGCCCCGGTGTGAGATTTTATCTTGGGGGAGTGGATCTCACTGCCCCCCCCCCAGCGGTCTCTGCACCAGAGGAGCTTACACTCTAATGTCCCCCCCACAGTCTCACACTATTATTATACATTTATATAACTCTAACATATACCCCAGTGCTGTACAGAGAAGACTGAGCCAGTCACATCAGTCTCTGTACAGAGGAGCTTACACTCTAATGCAGAATGACACTGGCTGTAGGGGGACTACAAATCCCAGCAATACATTATACAGCAATGCAGAACAGTATATGTATTGGACTCTGGACATGGTGACGCACTGGATTCTGGGCTTAGCAATGCACTGGACTCTGGACCCACCTGAGGCCCTGCAGAGCCCACCTGAGACCCCACACAACCCACCATAGATCCTGCACAACCCACGGAGTCTCTCTATGGTGGGCTCTGCATAGGGTGCATTGTGATTGAAATAGCTGTCACTTGAAAATTGATTTAACATGGTCACATTTGATGCTGCCGGTCCATTCAGTTTGATTGGCTGAATGGACTTTGGGAGTGGAAATCTCCCAAAGTGGGGGGAATTGGGGAGTTGTCCTCAAAACAGGTATCTTCATTCAAAGACTTCCCCTCATCTCTTGTTGTGTGGTAAACTCTACATTTTTGGATTTCCTCACTTTTTTCCTCGACGACAATGGTCAGCAGTACAATTAGAAGGATGAATCTCCCCAATGGGGACTCAGACAGCAATAAAAGCAAGACAGAAGGTCTACCCCTTCCCAACTCTATCTATAACTAAAAAGGTTCTGCCTGGAGATACAGGTATATAATGAGATACTTATGGGACTCGGACAGTAATAAAAGCAAGACAGAGGGTCTACTCCTTCCCCTCTCTATAACTAAAAAGAAAGGTTCTGCCTGGAGATACAGGTATATAATGAGATACTTAGGGGACTCAGACAGCAATAAAAGCAAGACAGAAGGTCTACCCCTTCCCAACTCTATCTATAACTAAAAAGGTTCTGCCTGGAGATACAGGTATATAATGAGATACTTATGGGACTCGGACAGTAATAAAAGCAAGACAGAAGGTCTACCCCTTACCCTCTCTATAACTAAAAAGAAAGGTTCTGCCTGGAGATACAGGTATATAATGAGACTATAACTAAAAAAAAAGGTTCTGCCGGAAAATAAAGGTATATAATGAGATACTTAGGGGACTCAGACAGCAATAAAAGCAAGACAGAGGTCTACCCCTTCCCCTCTCTATAACTAAAAATAAAGGTTCTGCCTGGAGATACAGGTATATAATGAGATACTTAGGGGACTCAGACAGCAATAAAAGCAAGACAGAGGTCTACCCCTTCCCCTCTCTATAACTAAAAAGAAAGGTTCTGCCTGGAGATACAGGTATATAATGAGATACTTAGGGGACTCAGACAGTAATAAAAGCAAGACAGAAGGGCTACTCCTTCCTTCTCTATAACTAAAAAGAAAGGCTCTGCCTGGAGATACAGGTATATAATGACATACTTAGGGGACTCAGACAGCAATAAAAGCAAGACAGAGGTCTACCCCTTCCCCACTCTATCTATAACTAAAAAGAAAGGTTCTGCCTGGAGATACAGGTATATAATGAGATACTTAAGGGACTCAGACAGCAATAAAAGCAAGACAGAGGGTCTACCCCTTCCCCTCTCTATAACTAAAAAGAAAGGCTCTGCCTGGAGATACAGGTATATAATGAGATACTTAGAATATGATTATAATAACTGACAGGCATTATCAGTGAATAAAGCAGGATCATTTGATCTTCCCCTTATCTATGGGAATAGTGACCTTAACCACATTCTTGTTTGACAGATTCAGTTCTAATCAATTCTAGAAAAGGAATTCTTATTCATCGGGAGTCCACATATATGGTGGAGACTGCAGGGCAAACTAGGAGGATTGCAAACAATGTGACCTCTATGGTTTTAGTAGACCCCTGCCGGAAAGTTATTTGGTGTGACATTTACATGAACAAGATCATACAACTCTTCCTTGCATTCCTTAATGCAGCAAGTTCGCTTTCCAGTGGGGTTCTGGGCAACACAGCTTCCATTCATTTTTATAAAGCTGCTCAGTCTACGGCTCCAGTGATTGTCAGGGATTGATTACATGATGCTTTGCATGTTGTCTGCCCATAGTAAATAGGCACACCATAGCTTTTACAAATAAAAAGTATGTTCTCTAATCTGCACATCATCCTCACCCTTTACATTGTCTGAGGTTGATTGTTATGGGTGGATGAGTGTTTTCATGGCCCACATGCCGGTGCCTTGGTAGCCAAACCATGGTATCAGAAATCCATGATTGATTGGCTAGTTGTGGCTTTTATAAGGAAAGCTCAAGCTGCTTGTTGGATTGTTGATTTATATTACAATGCAGAGAATGCTGCAGCAGGAGGAGTGAGACTGGGAGCAGGGTAAAAATCCTCCAGCTGGGGTTTGTGAGAGATAGTGATCCAGCCAACCATTGTCCACCCATAACTATAATATCTGGTGGGCCAACTCCTACAATCACCTAAAAGATGTCTTGTCCTCCTTTTGAAATGTTCTGTAACTTAGGAACATGATTCTGTTTAGTTGGCGTTCTCCTTTCTATCTCAATGTATTTTGTGTCACTGTCCTTGTATTTTAGGTTTTCTTTGATATAAGGATTGGGGATAGAAATGCCGGACGAATTATTATTGGATTGTTTGGAAAAATTGTGCCAAAAACCGTGAAAAACTTTGTTGCATTGGCAACTGGAGAGGTAAGCAGCTTTATCACAGCAATGTCCATATATTAAAGGAAAACTCCCGGAATTATTTTATTAACCCTTGCAGTGGGGCTACCCCTGCACTGCAAGGGTTAAATGCTCGTTTGTGTCTAGGTAAAAAAAACCTCCCAAAGTTATAGTCACCCGAAGCTCTGAGCTGGTTTCTTCTTAGACTGGTCCTTCCAACGTCTCTCCCCCTCCTCTGCAATGGTCTAAGGTCCCATAAATCATCACGTCTATACACTGTGCATAGATATGAGGATGCTGAGGAAGATTCCACTGCTGCAGGGAGCGCTGTGACAGCTGGCCGGCTCCTAACTTAGGCTGATTACTACTTTGTTATTTTAGAAACTAGACAAAAACGAGCAGTACAGGGGTAGCCCCACTGCAAGGGTTAATTTAAAAATTCTGGGACTCCTTTTGAGAATACATTTTCTATTTTTCTATGTCCTTACTTTACTCTCTTCGAAACTTATCAGGCTGGTAATATTGGTAATTGAAAAGAAAATAACATTGAAATTCCCTTTTATGACAAAATGTGATGATTGTGTAAACGCCATTTTCTTTACTGTTGGTAGATGAGGGAAAGGTCCAGAGCTATGAATCCCCTTTTCCTATTGATGACGTATATCAATGTGTCTGTCTTTATTACTGATGAACAACTCGCATTCCTCAGGTTTTATGGGAACTACAATTGCAAGTCTCAGCAAGATAGGACAGATTGGGACCTGTATTCGCCACCTGTCCCCAGCAGCTGGAAGGACCCACTTGTTGCTGCTGAAGGATGATCTGTTTGTACAGTTTACTTTGCTCCTGAGTAATGTTTTAAGCCTACAATATGAGCTTTATAAAGTATCTCACAGAAGTCACATCTTTGTAAATATTTTATTATATCATTTCATTTGACAACACAGAAGAAATGACACTTTGCTACAATGTAACAATGTAAAGCAGTGAGTGTACAGCTTGTATATCAGCAGGGCTTGAAAAATGTTATAGTGTCTCACCAGTCAGTCAAAAATGTCACCAGTCAGCATGACCGGACTATAGCCTTGCAATTTATGTTAAAAATGTTTGGGGACAGATAGAGCTTTCTTTTGGTTCTTTTGGAGGTATATAATCACCACGGGGGGTATTTTTTTTACTATATAATAAACAAAGTACCATAAATGTAGAAAAAAACAAAAAAGTTTCCCTACGTTATGTTATGAAACATTTATTCTTACCCGTATTTTTAGTAAAACATAAAAGTTGGGGTAACGTCGGGTAAATAGACACCAAACATGTCAAGCCTTAAAATTGTGTGTGCCCGCAAAATCACAAAAAAACTCACATAGGCGACAATTAAAATGTTTTTACTGTTCATCAGTTTAGTGTTATCAGTGATTAAAGGAGAACTATGGGGTTAGGGATTTTCCCCATAGTTCTCCTTAGGGTAACGGGAGGACACAAACTAGCGTCCTCCCGTCACCCTAAGCTCAGTATATAGGGAGCTGCAGCTCGCGGAGTGACAGCTGCAGATACAAGCGATGGAGCGTCTCTCGAGACGCTCGATCGCTTGACTGTAAAGCTCCCAGCTGGCCGTGTAATTACAACGGCCGGCCGGGAAGCTACTCGTTGGGCTCCACCGTCCTCTCGTCACAGACGAGCAGACGAGTGGATTTTTCAAGCCCTGTATATGAGTGTACATTTGCTGTCCCCTCAAAATAACTCAACACACAGCCATTAACGTCTAAACCGCTGGCAACAAAAGTGAGTACACCCCTAAGTGAAAATGTCCAAATTGGGCCCAAAGTGTCAATATTTTGTGTGGCCACTATTATTTTCCAGCACTGCCTTAACCCTCTTGGGCACGGAGTTCACCAGAGTTGCCACTGGAGTCCTCTTCCACTCCTCCATGATGACATCAGGGAGCTGGTGGATGTTAGAGACCTTGCGCTCCTCCACCTTCCGTTTGAGGATGCCCCACAGATGCTCAGTAGGGTTTAGGTCTGGAGATATGCTTGGCCAGTCCATCACCTTTACACTCAGCTTCTGTAGCAAGGCAGTGGTCTTCTTAGAGGTGTGTTTGGGGTCGTTATCATGTTGAAATACTGCCCTGTGGCCCAGTCTCTGAAGGGAGGGGATCATGCTCTGCTTCAGTATTTCACAGTACATGTTGGCATTCATGGTTCCCTCAATGCACTGTAGCTCCCCAGTGCCCGGCAGCACTCATGAAGCCCCAGACCATGACACTCCGACACCCATGCTTGACTGTAGGCAAGACACACTTGTCTTTGTACTCCTCACCTGGTTGCCGCCACACACGCTTGACACCATCTGATCCAAATAAGTTTATCTTGGTCTCATCAGACCACGGAACATGGTTCCAGTAATCCATGTCCTTAGTCTGCTTGTCTTCAGCAAACTGTTTGCGGGCTTTCTTGAACATCATCTTTAGAAGAGGCTTCCTTCTGGAATGACAGCCGTGCAGACCAATTTGATGCAGTGTGCGGCGTATGGTAGCACTGACAGGCTGACGACCACCCCTTCAACTTCTGCAGCAATGCTGGCAGCACTCATACGTCTATTTCCCAAAGACAACCTCTGGATATGACGCTGAGCACGTGCACTCAACTTCTTTGGTCGACCATGGCGAGGCCTGTTCTGAGTGGAACCTGTCCTGTTAAACCGCTGTATGGTCTTGGCCACCGTGCTGCAGCTCTGTTTCGGGGTCTTGGCAATCTTCTTATAGCTTAGACCATCTTTATGTGGAGCAACAATTCTTTTTTTCAGATCCTCAGAGAGCTCTTTGCCATGAGATGCCATGTTGAACTTCCAGTGACCAGTATGAGAGAGTGAGAGCGATAATGCCAAATTAACCTCTTGCCGTCCGCCCGTAGTAAAAAAACGGACGGACGGCACTGCTGCATTGGCGGGTTACCGTCGCCAGACAGCATTTTTTTTCTGCTCGCGCGCGCCCCCTGGCGGGCACGCACGGGCAGAAAAGGCCCGATCAATGCACACACCCGTTACCGGGTGTTTCACATATAGGCGATCAGCGGCTCCATAGCCCACCGATCGTCTATTTGTGCTTGTTCGCGTCTGATCTCCCTCCGGGCTGTGAATGCAGAAGTGATGTGTATTACATCACTTCTGCATTCACCTGTCAGTCATCTGGCTGCTATAGCCAGAGAGAAGAAGCTGATAAAGCAGATCTCTGCTTCTTTTGGGGTCCACAGGTGACATTAGGGGTCCTAGAGACCACTAATGTCTCCATAAAGAGGACCTGTCAGTGTGCCTTTGCTATTATATAGGGGGATTGTTATCCCCTATATAATAGCAATAACAATAAGTGCAAAAAAATAAATATAAATAAAAAATAAATAAAAGTAACATAAAAATTAAAATAAAATAAAAGTCACATATAAAAAAAGGGGGAAAAAACCCCCCAAAAACTTCCAAGGGGCTCAGTACATCGATTTGTTTCTATAGAGGCTTATCAGTGGAACATTCCAGTGCCAGTGAGCAACTACTCTATGCATTGGCTGAGATTGGACACCCTGGGGGGAATTTATCAAAACTGAAGTGGTTGCCCATGGCAACCAATCAGTATCTCTCTTCAGTTTGCTCAGGTAATATTTGAAAATGAAACAGGAAAGCTGATTGGTTGCAGTGCAAATCTGCTCCAGATTTATTAAATCCCCCTCATGTTTGCAGGTCCACAACAGAAGTTACAGTTAGCTGCTCTTAATACCTGCTTTTGTGATCAATTTAAAGTGGAACTGTGGTGGTGGCGGCGGAGGAGGAGGAGTACTTGCTGTAAGGCAAACTTACCTCTGAATTTGCCCTCCTTCAGCAGTGACAGCTGCACACTTTCCATTACTGCCAGCCTGCTAAAAATATTCCTGAAAGTGTTTTATAGAAAATATTAAATCTGTTATTTCAACATTGGAATTCCAGCTGTGGTGCAACTACAAATGCCTCTGTGAGTTATAGCTATGGCTGTCAGAAATTTGCAGTGCCTCATGAGACTTGTAGTTCCACAACATCTGGAGTGCCGAGGTTGCCTAGCCCTGGCCTTTACTGTACTTGGAGCACTTTGCCAGCTGTAAATGGACAGTAGTTAGAAGGTGAAGAGAAGGAAAGACATGACTGGGTCCCTCACATGACTCACTGTCACTAGTCCCCAAATGTCAACACGACTCTAAATGAAACAAGGTTGATTTTTCCAGCTTCTTTTTATTTCTTTATTTACTTGAAGTACTCTCCTCCCAGAGTAGGTGCGAGTACATAGTTATGCCTGTGTGGGGTGATGCTGGAAACTGCTGCAGAATGTTTGGTGAGATAGTCCCCGTCCATGGATGTGATTCATGTCTTCCTGTGAATAATGGTAAGAGCAGCTGGCAGATGTGACATGCACAATGTCACTTCTGTTTTCTGTATAAATAAATGTAGACTTAATAGCTGTGCTGGCTTACTGCGTGCAAGACATACACAGAGGAGAAACTCTGAGAGGAGATTTACTGTGTGATTGGAGTGGCTGGAATGGGGAATGGCAGAACCTGAGCACATTTCACCTGAGCTAATATTCCTTCCATCATCTTTCTTCACTTTATTTCCTAATTACGTGACTGATAATACTGAAAGAGAAAGGCATGTCCTGCAACACTCGATTCATACGACTGCAATAACATCCATTTTCCTGGATTGCAGTATTCGTCTGGCAATGTATTCTAATATCTCTGCAGTTCCCTTACAGTTTGTCTCCTTCTTCTAATTCAGAAAGGTTATGGCTACAAAGGCAGCAAGTTCCACCGAGTTATCAAAGATTTCATGATCCAAGGAGGAGATTTCTCAGCCGGAGATGGGACAGGAGGTACATTTTAAGCTTTTAGTTAGAAACTGTATCTGCAGAAGGAGTGAAAAACTCTAGTGAAATAATTTGATTTAATTTTCCATTGGAAGTGAAATATATGTCTGGGAATCAGTGGCGTCACAAGCGGGGTGCAGGGTCCCGGGTGGGTGTCACCATTGGAGGGGTGACACCAAAATGACTAATGGACCGAGAGCCCGACAATGTCAGGATAGAAGAGAGGACCCGGCGGCATACCTCATCCCGCCGGGTGAATGTCCCCCTCCTCTCTCTGCCGACGTCCAACACCAAGATGGCCGCCGACAGGCGCATGCACAATGACGTCACGGCAGGGTGTCACCCGGTCTCTGCTCTGGGCGACACCAGACCTGGGGACGCCCCTGCTTGGAATCCTATGATGAAAGCAGTATGCCCCTGAAGTTGGACATACTTGGCTTTACTATAGCTTAACTGGTTTGTGGCGGAAGAGGTGGAGAATTTTGTCTTCCACTAGAGGCTGCTGAGACCTCCTCCTCATAGAGTCCCAGTTAGTAGATATTTAATGAGTAAATATAACCAGTGTATTCGTTTGCCAGCTCTCCTCGCAATGACAGAGCAGCTAACATGCAGTACATGACCTAATACATTCAGAAATATTTTGTATGCACCCGTTTCTCTATTGTGCCACCAAGACCTTAAAGTAGTACTAAAGGCTCTGCGTTTTTTACCTTAATGCATTTACTGCATTAAGGTAAAAATGCCCAGTCCCTTTTCTCTCCTGTTCATTGAAGGACACAGGCAACAGATCGTAGATCCTGAATGGTAGGGTAATATCGCCACCTGCAGGAGAAGGACGCTAGGCACAAAACTAAAGACCAATTACAGCCTAGGGGCGGCCCCTGCCGGTGGCCAAACCCCCCACCTGCTGACAAGTCTCCAGTTTTTTGCCTAGCGTCAGGAGTAAGGAGCTAAAAAAATTTCTCTGGAGAATTTTTTTCCTTTCTTCCGTTTTTGATTTTTCTTCTAGCAAGTGTCCCCAGGGCGACAGGCTGGATGACTGTATCTGATTCGCCAAGTGAGGATGAGGCTGCGTCTACGTTCCTGGTCCAGGAACATGAATTGGTCTCGGCGCTGGTCCGCGCTGTCGGGGAGACCCTTAAAGTGGAGGACGTTGCCAGCACTTCCACGCTGTCGCACGTGCAATTTGGGCCGCATGTGTGTCTGCGTTCTGTCACGGTGTTTCCTTACATCCCTTTGTTTATTCTGGCTCTCTCGGCCAACTACATCCCGGGAGTGGACAATTGGCAGGCCGATTGCCTCACTCGACAGTCGGTGGATCCGGGGGAGTGGTCTCTGCACCCGGAGGTTTTTTAACAGCTCTGTCGTCGCTGGGGGACGCCGGAGGTGGATCTTCTGGCGTCTCGGTTCAAGCGCAAGGTGGACAGGTTTGTGACCATGGCCCTGGATCCCTGGGCGGAGGCCGTGGATGCCATAACTCTCCCGCCATCACTACAAGATCTTGTTAGAAAGCGAATGCAACACTGGCCGAAAATAAATATTGGAGCATGTGACTTTTTATTTGGGCCAGGCAGTGTATTAGGGCTGCAACAACTAATCGACATAATCGATTATAATCGATTATTGAAAAAGTTGTCAACTTTTTCAATAATCGATTAATCGGCTTCCGACCAGTTGGCCCTGTTCACAGCTCCACACGCTGTGCGCCGCACCTCCTCCCCACCTCACGCTCACTGCTGCCAGACCCGCCCAATCCACGCTCCACACGCCGCGCCTCCTCTCCGCCTCACACTTATCACCCCCCACATCCATGATCGGCACAGGGACGTGGGGAGATGTAGTAAGGAGGAGCAGGTGTGGGGTGATGACAGCCGCCGATAGACAGGTCCGATCTCAGAAGCAAGTTGCTGGAAGACTGCTCAGGTAAGCCTGCACTCCCCCCCCACATGGTGCTCTATAATGCATTGCTGGGATTTGTATTCCTCTATAGCTGATGGTACATTGTGCTGTATATTATACATAGGAATACAAATCCTAGCAATACATTATACACTGTATGTATAATGTATTGCTGGGATTTGTTGTACTCTTCTATAGCTGGTGATATTCCGCTTTGCGCTGTATAGAGGACTACAAATCCCAGCAATAATACATTATACAGTGGTGCAATGCTGAATACCACCAGCTATAGAGGACTACAAAACCCAGCAATAGTACATTATACAGCGCAATGCAGAATGCCGCCAGCTATAATGTACTATTGCTGGGATTTGTTGTATTCCTCTATAGCTGGTGGTATTCTGCATTGTGCTGTATAATGTATTGCTGGGTTTTGTAGTCCTCTATAGCCGGTGCCATTCTGCATTCATTGCTCTATAATTTTACACTTTCCATTTCACTATATTGCACACCACACTATCTTTTTTATTTTTTACTTCCACCGCTCCAAGCTTGCTCCTGTGATGGACTACAACCTCAATACAAACTAGTAGTCCCATCACTGGAGCCATTTTTTAAACTTTAAATTATTGTTTATCCGATTAACCGATTAATCGAACTCAATAATCGGCTAACTAATCGATTTTGAAAATAATCGTTAGCTGCAGCTCTACAGTGTATTAAGCTCTATTTAGTAAGAAGAAAAAAAACAACCCATTGTCCTGTCCTGGACACCCTTCAGTGTCTTTATTTACCTTCGCCACCTCTCTCCCACCACCAAACCCTCTGTGACCTGCCATTGACATTCCCCAACCCCTCCATCCTGTCCTAGCCATCCTCTGGTGCCTATCACTACCACACCTGCAAAGTGACTAGCCGTTTTGGACATTTGCATTCTAAATTACATGCACCACTCTGATGTAGCAGAGCTGGAGCCTAGTGACTGGCCATGCAGCTGCCAAGCACTGCATTGTGGGGAAGCAGGCAAGGTCACATGTTCCTATATATCTCAAAGTACTGGGTCTTTTACAGAGCAACAGTGGTGGGGGAGTATTGGTAAGGATGCCTGAGACAGGGTGGGGGTAGCTTGGCTTTGCTGTAAGGGATTTTAACCCCTTCATGACTGAGGCCTTTTTTTCATTTTTTGTACCCATGTTATATTCCACATTTTAGGCCTGAAAATTACTTAAAACCCCCCAACATTATATATTTTCTGAATGCCAAGACCCTATAGAATAAAATGGTGGTAGTTGCAAATTTTTATGTTGCGCAATATTAGCGCAACTCCTTATTAAACCCCAATATTTAGTGAAAAATGTAATTAAATGCCCCAAAACACAACAAAATACAAACTTCCTGACGCAAAAATATGGAGGCTGCCATTACTGATGTTTTCTTCCTGCAAATGCTAATTGCCTGGCTTTCACATTGTGCATCTTGCTTCAATACTCTGAGCCACTAACTCACAACAGTTATGCAGATAAGAACATCTGACTTTCTTCTGAATTTCCTGGTTATTGTACTTTTGCCAGGTCAGTGACAACTAGTATTAATGCCAGGGAGACAGTACAACAGCCAGGAAAATAGCATTTCCAGTGTGAGGTCAGCAATGGCAGTGCCCATATGTCTCTTAGGAATGCTTACTTTAAGGATTTTTTTTGTTCTTGGTTTGGACCCGCTTAGCAATGACATGTAATATGACGTAACAACCATATAACGATGAAAGCACCGACAACGTTTACCATAAAAGTAAGTGTGCTCACAAAGAGTTGTACAATTTCCAAAGCTGTAATGTTATGTTTTGCAGTGGACTCCATGTCATCAGAGGAATGTCTAAATGTATAGATCATTCTATTGTTAGAGTATGCAAGTATTTTTTACGCTGTCTGCAAATCGTGCAAAATGGTAAGATACAGATCTTGTACTATGGTAAACTGAATATTATGTTGTTGTAGGTTGGAGTATCTATGGGGATCATTTTCCAGATGAGAACTTTAAGCTCAAGCACTATGGCATTGGCTGGGTGAGCATGGCTAATGCAGGTCCAGATACTAATGGGTCCCAGTTCTTCATCTCCACAACACGACCTTTATGGCTCAACGGGAAACATGTTGTGTTTGGCAAAGTTCTGGATGGCATGGTAAGCAGCACTATAACTCTATTCTATTGCATATAGTTAAATACTATGAGGGGAATGTATTAAAACTGGAGCAAACAGGATGACAACCAATCAGTGTCTCTCTTTAGTTTGTTCAGTTAAGCTTTGAAAATGAAAAAGAGATGCTGATTGGTGGCCATGAGCAACTGCTCCAGATTCTCTTTGCTCCAGTTTTGATAAATTCCCACCAGTGTATATCCAGTGACTTCAGTTTTTAAGTAAGTTTTACCCTTCCAACAAACAGTATAGTTTCTGCGTTTGAAGCACGCTTCAAGTGTAGTTCAGCAGATTCCCATTTACTACAAATGTGGATGAAAGTTCTGAGGCTATGTTTAACTTTCTTTGGACCCAGCATGTCCTATTGAGATGCATTGCATTGCATTGCAGGCAAGGCAGATCACACACCACCCTTTGCTGTGTTTGAAGACATCATTCTGGTAGTGGTCAGCAGGACAAATAGAGTGAATCTCCCAAGTTGGGACACAGCAACAAAAAAAATAAAAATCTGAAAGGCATTCCAACCCTTCCTGCCTCTCTCCCAAACTACAAATACAAAACGTAGGCTTTAGATATTTTTAATGTATTGAGCAGCCTCTCTGATCAATAGGGCGGCTCGAGGAAGTGAAATCAGAGCTCCTGATCTGCATGCATGCTCTGGGTCAGTGGTTCACATATTACAAAGCAACTACCATTTGTAGATAAAGAAGTCAGTAATGGCAGCCTCCATATTTCTCCAAGGACATGTTTCTATTAGGAGGGAAAGATAAAACAATTACAGAAACCTTTCTCTGTGGTCCAATTATGAAGAGCCACTGTGGCCATAAGGCTTCTTTAAAAAAAACATAGAGCACAGCTGTGCGCTTTACAAAAATGCTTTCTACATAGCCTCAAAAAGTGCTGGGAGACCTGCCACATGACTTTGACAGATCATGTGACAGGTTTGTCCTTTTATCTCAGAGTATTATCTGCAGTGTTCTGTAGAGAACACCCTGCTGGACACCTTAGGCTCCACACTGTGCTCTCTGGGAAGAGCCGTATCCATTGTCAATAATAAATTAATAAAGTGTTGTCCTGTTCTGTCCTGAACATGATCTTTCCACACTGATTATATTTTAACTGTGTACGTATATACATATATACAAACATATACAGTATACATTTCTTATTCATATATTAAGGGACACAGGATGTAATTCAGGTACATAAGGTTATGCTGCTGCCACAGGAGATTGGGCACTGGCAAACAAAGCTGTAAACAGTCTAGGATAACCCTTCCCACTATCATTATGCCTCAATTGTGTGCTAATGTTCTAGGAGAATGGTCGTCTTTTTTCTGCTCAGAGGGAAGTGGGGCCGGTTTGTAATGCGTCTTCTGTGCACTGAACTTTGCTGTAGTTGTTCTACCAGACACAGTCAATATAATGTGTGAGTTAGCCAGGCCCCGGGCTGTGGTACACCTCACTGGTGGAATCCTATTTTGAAGACCCCTTAGACCTGGTTCACTACTAGGCGTTTTAGATCAGGAGAAAAAGTGCTTCAAACCGCCCAACACAAGAAATCCCATGAGTTTTAATGGTTCCTGTTCACACCTGAGCAGCAAAACATCAAACGCAGAAAAAAAGCACATGAGCTTCTTTTGGCAGTTTTGCAGCTCGTTTTTTTCCCCTCATAGAAATAAATGCAAATGCCAGGAAACAGAAGCATGTTGCACATTTTCTTGTACGTACGTCCATTGACTGCAATGTTTCTCAAGCTGCCAGTCAAAATGCCCGTCTTCATGTGTGCGCAGCTTGCGTGTGCAAACATGCAAAAAAAAAGCTAGCTGAACTTACACCGCGGAAAAACTATGACACCTTGGTGTGAACGGGGCTTTAGGGAGCATGCCCACTGGGAGGAGCAGGACTGCTTGGATAGGGAATGTCCCCTGGATCCTGCCTGTTATCGCCATTCTTTTGGTGGGGACCGCAGGGCTTTGCCATTATGTGAGTCTGGGTGTGCTTTTACTATTTTTGAGTCCCCCACAGGGTTAACTTAGGTGTGCCAACTGTGATGCTTTTGGACAGCACCATTGTTAAATATAGTGCCTTTAGACTAGGGCTTACTGTCTGTGAGCAGCCTCTATCTAAGGTGTACAATTTCTCCTGAACACGCACAGACCTATCGCCACTTTATCCTCTGCTGCACCCACCTTACAATCCTCAGGATATGTACTGGGCTCCCTGCTGCCTCCAGTGACAAGGTCTCTGATGGCATTAAAGTGACACTAAATTCAGGAGTTAAATCTTAAAAATATTTAGGTACTAACTATTAACAAATGTAACTTCTTTGTGTATCACTCGGCTGTAGATCCTCAAATGTTCTCTGAATTGGTGCTGGCTCTGTCCTTCTGGAGGGTGGCTACTTTTCTTCCCCATGGTTCCTGTGTGTGTTGTAAAGTAGTCACCACTTCCAAGCTCACTCCCGTGATAGACTACAATCTCAATACAAATTAGTAAACTAAATGTGAGCTTATAGTCCATCACAGGATTTATTTATATATAATCAAAGTCCAGTGCGTCACATTTCACACAACTTTCAAAAGTTGTAAATCCCCACAGTGAAAACTTCCTAATGATATTTTCTTCCACAGTCCTCTCACACCATGGTAACTCTTCCTGTGTATCAAATACCATCAAAACCGTGTTCTCGCTCATCTTAAAATAGTGGACCTAAAAACTGAGGTTAAAGTTAGACCCGATTATTTTCCCTTTATAGGGATTGGCAACAGACTCCTCTTACTCCTCCTTTGCTGTTGCATCGCATGTAGGAACAGGTCAAAAGAACACATAGTGCTTTGATATATTTGATTTCTATCCATCTATCTACACATATAAATTTTTTTAGCATGTTCGCACAATGGTTTATATGTGTATAATTAATGTTGATCATTTCATTACTTTTTTTTTTAAATATTGGAGAGGTAGGGGCGCTGCATTGACGAATAGTTATCTAACAGACAAGGTTGTCTTTTCTTCCAAAGGTGGTTTCCCCTTAACGATGACATTGTTCTCCCATCTCAGTGTCCTGCTCCATGACATTCCAAGATTTTCCACCACTGTCTGGATGTGGTACACGCTGCTGGAGTGCATCTCTCAGCTACAGCTTCTTTTAGACAGATGGACACTCTTGATCATTACTTAGAGTTTCCATAGGGGATAGCCTGCTTGTCATTCCTATCTTTTGGTGAGCTGTAGAATCCATTCAAGTCAACAAGACCTAAGGACAAGGCTCCACCCTTTCCTGTCAAAGCAGACTAGATCAGGTAGTACTTCATGGACTTTTCAGCATCATACATCTGTTGTTAGATTTGCAAGGCTGCCACCTGGTCTTCTGTTCAAACGTTCAAGTTTTACCAGGTGGATGTTCAGGCCTCCTCTGGTGCCAGCGTTGGTCATGAGATTGTTTAGGTGGCTCTATTTGCTGTGTTGCCCACCCCTCAGTTGGACTGCTTATAGATGTCCCTGTGTACCTCAATTACATCCTGTGTCCTTTAAAGCTGAACTCTGGCCACAACAACATTCATTTAATTATATTCCTCTCTAGCTGCAGAGGACATAAATCCCATTTGTGTGCACTAAATTCATTTGCAAATCCAAATATTACCTTTATAAAAGTAGCAATAACATCATGACTGCACTGTGCAGAGAGCACAGCTGTGGGATGGACCCAGTAGGTCCACCCACTACAGGCTGCCTGCATACAACTACAGGCTGGATACAAGACCAGTCACCCTGAACAAGAGACAGTGCAGAGATTACTGTTAAGCTCCTGCACAAAGGAAATGTTGCACAGATCTGGAAGAAATACAGAAATCACTCCAAAATTCAAGGAGGAATACACATGCCTCTTGTATTTCAACAATATCTGCTTATGACAGATCTCATCTCTATTACAGGATTTTTGGCTTACCGTACATTAACCCCTTCGTGACTGATGACGTACAGTGTACGTCGCCAGCATCGGGGCTGTTTACCTCAGTCATGAAGGGGTTAAGGGACACAGGTGCCTTCCCTTTGTTCCAATGATCTGTCGTACTATTGCTTGCTACAAAACTGAGGCATGAAGGGAGTGGGAGAGGTATACTAGGCTGCGCTTACAGCTTAAACTGAAGTCAGCACCATAACCCTAAATATCTGAATGACATCATGGGGGTGATTTACTAACCTAAACACACGCACGCACGCACTAGGTGCGTGTGATTTTTACACAGCAAAACGTATTTATCAACCTAAAAAATCTAAAAAAATAAAAAAGTTTTGCCATTAGTCACAGTGCAAGCACAAGGTTTTACAGTAAGTGAAAAGTCCTGTTATTTTTATTACCAGACAATAGTCCATGAAGGTTTAGGTTTCAAGCAAAATTTATTTTCTCTGGTTTAAAATTCTAGCTGTGCTGTTAAGTTTAATGTAAAACACTGATTTTATGTTACTTGTGAATTCTTTCTGCCTTTCATTTGAGAAATCTTTACATGTTTTTTTAAGAGTTGTGTCCTCCTCCTCTCTCCAGGCTCTGGTGCACGGTATAGAGCTCCAACCTACAGATGAGAAGGACCGTCCCTTACTGGAGTGTGCTATAGTGAACAGTGGAGAGATCACCGTCAAAGAACCATTTTTGGTGGAAGTGGATGACTGGCAGGACTAGAGTGACATTTTTATATACTGTACAATTTTTTTTTTACATAATTTTTTAAATAAATGTAAATATGTTTATCTGACCGTGTAGTGTTCATGTCTTTGTAATCCTGTGACAATAGTAGGCGCTGTTCAGATGAGGATTTCCATTTGCAGTAAAGTGAGAAGACACCATAATACTGTAAAGAAGAAGAAGTGAGGTACACAATTAGGGGTCTATTCACCAAGCTGCTGAAGGATCTAGCCGTAGCTTCGGCTGATCCTTTGGCTAGCTTCGGCCCCAGGACCCCTTCGGTTCAGTAGAACAGAAGGGCTGCTGTACGGGCTATTCACTATAGCCTGTACAGCTCCCGAAGTCGGCCCAGCGGCTCAGTCGAGCCGAAGGCATATGCATCGGCTCGGCTGAGCCGAGGTGAAAGCCGAAGCTGGCCGAGCTGAGTCGAACTCCTTCTGCACTGAAGCCACACAAAGCCACCAGATGTACGGCTGATTTCAGCCGATATATGGCTGGAATCAGCCGTACCAGCCTGAAGTGGTACTTCAGGCTGGTACGGCTGAACTGACCCCACTTCGCTTGGGGTCGGTTAGTCACTTGGCTGCCTACGGCAGCTTAGTGAATAGACCCCTAAGTGTCAGGAATAAGAATGTTGGTTTGCTGACATGATGTATGGATATTTTTCTTCATTATTTAGGGAGTTCTTGTGCAGGACCACGTCTATGTAGTAAGTGTTTTGACATCTGATATGCACAAGCTTGTTCCATGTCAGCGACTCACTAAGGCTGGGTTCACACCTAGGCATATCGAATATGCGCGTTTGCGCGCGTTTCGTGACGCGCGTTTTTACAAACAAAAAAAACGTGCGTTTCCGAGGGCTACTTGGCTGTATCCCAATGGAAACTCGTGACAAAAACGCCCCAAAGAAGCTCCTGTACTTCTTTGGGCGTAGGGCGTTTTGTAGCGCGTTCATACGGCCTGTAATACGCCCAGGTGTGAACTATACCGATAGGAAATAATGGGATTTCGTGTTTGAGCGTTTTGCAGAGCGTTCGAAAGCGCTACAAAACGCCCAGGTGTGAACCAGGCCTAAGTAGCGAAGAAAATAACAATGAAAGCCCTGGACATCTAACAAGAAAAAGAAAGTTGGTGATGGCAGCTCTGCTGTTCCTAGGTTGTTTTTAAAGGAAATCTTTCTTTTAGAGAATCATTGAGACTGCAATTTCTTGCTTCTTATTCTTCCAGTTGCATGGCTGGCATACCAACTGCCTCAAAACTACCCTCTTTTTTTGCAGTATATTGTTTTCTTCAACTATATGTAGCGCTCATTCCTTAAGGAGCCGCTGGCTGAATTGAACCCTTGCAGCCTGTCTAAAGTAGGGTATGCACCGCTAGAATTTCATACCAATTAAATCAATTTCAGGAACGTTTGTTTCACTTTCTAATAGTCGATGGGGTCAAGTCGGTGATCAGTTTTGACCACAGTGATAAAAAAAAACTATGGGGTTAGGGCTTTTCCCCATAGTTCTCCTTAGGGTAACGGGAGGACACAAACTAGCGTCCTCCCGTCACCCTAAGCTCAGTATACGGCAAGCTACGGCTCGCGGTATACGGAGACGCCGCAGCTGAAACGGATCCCGACAATTATGTCTGGATCCGCTCAGCTGCGTGAGTGACAGCTGGCTCTGCCTATCTAGAGGCAGAGGCAGCTGTACCCGACCCCTCCCCCGTCCGTTCCGCCAGTCAGCGCTGGCGGATCGGAGTGGGGAGGGGGGAATCCAGTCCCACCCCTGTCATTGCAGAGAGCCGTGACTGACAGGATCGAGAAGTGAGCGAACGCCGGTATGTGTTCGCTCACTTCCCGATCTACTGAGCCGACCTGTGACAGTCTCATTGTCACAGGTCGGCTAGAACTATGAGGTGAGTGAAAAGCACTCACCTCATAGTTCTCCTTTTAAAGGAGCATTTTGGAATGGTTTTTTTCTTGATCAAGCGAAATGTTAACAGTTAATGGGGTTTTCCTTCAGGTAACGCCGTTCATTCCAAAATCGAATGTTACATTAAAATGGAAATCAAATAAAATTTTGAACGGCATTTGTCAACTGACTGATGGCATTATCAAACGTTGACGAGATTTGAAAATCTACTTGTGCATACCCTACTCAAGGTACACAGTTCCATTGCTGCCTCAGCACTTACTGACTCACCGGTGGTGACCCATAAACTAACTCCAACACTGATGATCTTTTGTTTGCAGTAACTTTATTGAACAACTTTGGGAGAGAGGGTTAGGGTGCAAGACACCCATGATTTTGCAGACTCCAAGTACTTACAGCCTTCACAGATAAAAGAACCTTAAAGCCAACCTGTCTGTCTGTGAATTTAGCTCCCGACTGTAAGATACCAGATGATGCAGCTACCAGTTCAATGGGGAGAATCACCAAATCTCAGTAAAGGACCTGGCTAAGACTGATAAAGTCTTTATGCAAGCTGCTAAACCTGGGAACATACATATTTGGCTTCAAGATGGCAGCTTGCATAAAGACAATGTGAACGTAGATATTTATACAATGATCTTATGTAAGAGATGGTTTAATGAGTGAATAGTGCTATCCAGGATCTGCAGACTTCTTTAGTGCTTGGATGTATTGCAGTTTTATACAAAAAAAAAACCAAATACCACAATTTGTATACCACTTATTTATACTTTATTACAGCTTATAAACATTAATGTCTACTAGTATTTCAAATTAAATATACAAATGACAAGTAATAGGTACACAGATCTACACATCAGTTTGCTAATAGTAATCATAACTTATTTTATACAATAATGTGCTCAACTGAATAAGATGCAATAAATATGTTAATTAAACAGCTTGATCATATAGTCATGCATTGCCAATAGTGTTATTGTAATATATATACACACAGGTGAAACTCGAATAATTAGAATATTGTGCAAAGTTAATTTATTTCACTAATGCAACTTAAAAGGTGAAACTAATATATGAGATAGACTCATTACATGCAAAGCAAGATAATTCAAGCCGTGATTTGTCATAATTGTGATGATTATAGCTTACAGCTCATGAAAACCCCAAGAACCCCAAATCCACAACCTCAAAAAAGTAGATTATTACATGCAATCAATAAAACAAGGATTGTACATAGAACAATATCGGACCTCTGAAAAGTACAAGCATGCATATGTACTCAGTACTTGGTTTGGGCCCCTTTTGCAGCACTTACTGCAATTACTTTCGCACGATATTCTAATTATTCGAGTTTCACCTGTATATACTGCTATAGTGTATAGAACCTGTAATGCACAGGATGTTATTCCCCTCATTTTATGGCACAGAAAATGCAGAATGTCACTTATTTTCTATAGGTACCATGTGTATGCCTGTGAAAATCTGTACCTGTAAAGAACTATACATTTAAGTCTATATATCTACTCCCTAGTGAAGTGAGTCTATTGCATCCTCCATTCATGTAAAGCAAGATCAGAGACTGAAGCTGTGCAGCCATAATGTTGCATAAACACAAGGCTATGATTCCTCCTCATGAGTATGTAGTATTCTCCACACTGGAAAACCACTGACTCAGTCTGAAGGAGGCAGAGCGGTAATTTGCCAAAAATAACCAATCTAATCTGTCTGTCTGAAGAATGATCTTTGACAATCTACAATACTAGTGATCTAAAGATCAGATTCAAACACACACTTGAAAATGATAGAAAAGTCTAATCAGACCATAGGTCATTAAAACTGCTTGTGCAGAATTATGGATGTGTTATACAGTATTATGGATGTAGAAGATTCTAGAAAAGTTTGAAAAATCTTGGACTTGAAATGAGCAGCAACTGTATTTCCCTTTGTGTACATCCAATGCGAGAGGTTGGACATATAAATACATAAACATTCTATTTGCACCATCTCAGCTTATCCTAAGAAAAATACTACTGGGGCTCTAGCATTCTGCACACCAAAGCAACCTTCTTCCAGAGCTTTGAGAGACCGATCCCACTACAAAAGCAGTGTGGGATCATCGAGGGGTTTCATAGGGACCCACTTTTCTGCAGGCGAGGTCCCCTAACATACAACTGAAGAGAGACAAAATCTCATTGCTCAAACACCAATTCTTGTAGGGTATAATCAGCCTTTATAACCATTTTATGGCGTAATTCGTTTCCAGCTCAGCATGATTCTTTATTAAAAATCAATATCTTAAACAATAATGTGCTATGATTGGGGGATACTGTTAAATCTCTTTCCTTTGTTACACATAAAAAAACATGATATGCAAGTCACTTATAAAAATAGTAAACAGTAATAAATAGCAGCAAGACAACTGAAAATTAGGTTTATGTTAGACCGGTATGCCAAGACATTTAATAAAAGTAAGCCAGTCACATGCATGCAGGTATGGGCCCAACAGTCCATAGAGCTACTAGGATCTAGTTTATAGGTAAAGGTCCTGCCTAATGTTCTAGTACGTAAGGTTGTGACAACGTCAGTGGCAGTACCTGGCCAATGCAATGCATACTGCGTCTGGTACACGGCCTGTGTTGTCTGTAACATCGGGGTTACAGATGAGAGGTAGTCTGGCCAATCACAAGCAAGCTGCTCCCAATCCATACACCTGACATCATAGGCACTTCTATCAGACCACACGGAGGAGCACTAAAGTTTTTTTAATTGGACCTACTGAAATCACTAAATATAACTATATCAAACCTTTGCCCAGTTTAACAAACCATGAGAGAGCAGCAAATGTGGAAAGTCAGTACTAAACACCCTGAAATGCTATGCGTCTGTGATGGCATAGTTTATGCAGGAGAAGAACAGAGAAAATGCCCACTGCATCACAAGAAATGTTTTTCTTAAGGCATATCTACACCCAGAAGCAAAAAAAGAATATATTGCAGCTTACCAATCTTTAAATGTGATGGCTGCATTAGTTTTCTTTTTTCCTTTATTTTCACCTGGTGATCCGGCCAGTAAGTCTGTTACTTATCAACTTCCCCCAGCACACCAATCTGTCCCACAAAAGTGGCAGATAGAGGGTTAAGGCAAACCATTTATCACTGGCCGGGGTGCTTACAATGGTCAGCTTTTATTCATTTCTGTAAAATCTTTATCCCACAAGAAAAAAAACTGGTGCTGTAAATGCTTATAACGTGAATTTGTTAGTCAAGTCCATCGAAATCTGCTAGAACATCTAACACTACCCTCCCCACAGGGTGACAGTGCTGCTGTCTGAGTGCGACTCTATTCCGCCACCCCAAGATATGAAGTGTGTTACTGGTAGGATCACCAGGTGAAAATTTGGATACAAAAAGGCTTTGAGTGCTCCTTTAATAGCTGGACTCACAGAAATCACTGAATCCCAATGAACGGTGTGATGAGCCATCTGCACACAGCAGATCATAGAATAACCAAGTTTTGGTATGAGGTATATTTTTAGTGACAACACACTGTGTATATCAATATTCCCTTTCACATACAGAGAAAAAACTGCAAAATCAGAAGGAAAAATATATATATATAATTTTTTTTTTTTTACGTATTCAAAACCCATCACTTTAAAGCTATGGACATGATTGGCTTGAATTAGTTTGTTTTAGGACATAGGACACTCACTAGAAAGTTTGTCTAGTAAAAAATAAAAAGCAAATATCACAGATTCTCCCACAAACATTGTAGCTAAAGATTTCAGGAGCACAAGCTTCTCCCAAAAAGTTCCACAGGAAGCAGGGTGCGTTGTACCGTTGACGTCATGACCTTAGCTGGTCTGTAGGTGTGGGTAGAATATGCCGCGAAGAACACCCTCTATCACAACATTCGCTGCATGATCTGAGTAAAAAACACAAACAAGGATGCTGAGGACTTAAAGCTGAACTTCAGGCAGATTTAGAAGACACATAAATGCAGCTCTCTATTTATAATTAAAATATACTACAGTGTATATATACTATATATATAT